CAGGGCTGTGGCTTTTGCTGTAAGAAATATACCGGGTGGGGGACTGAGGATTTGGGTCTTTTTGTCTGATTCTAAGTGATAACCGCCATTCAAAATGACATCACTGTCTTTTGAGATGTCTATGAGTTTCAATTTGAACCCACACCAGGGATCTTGAGACCATGCTCAACTCCAAACCAAAGAACACAAAAAGAGCTTTTGCATTTTTCCAACATGGCAGGAAGGAAAGGAGCCAAGATCTCCTGAGGGGCCCCAAGAAGGTGCTTCTGAGAGCTTCTTGGCTCAGGATGGGGAGCCCTGAGGGGAATTCCTGGGCACTGTCTGTGAAGATCTGAGGAGGAGCCCCACACAACACCCACAACACTCCCAGGCTCCTCCAGGCTGCCGGCAGAGGGGCTTCCTCACCAGCCTGTTTGGTAAACTGATCTCAGGATTAAGAGCAGCTTTTGATGGGCAAGGGGGAAAACCCACTGGGATGCTAAGCAACTTTTCAAACACTGGAGCAGTTGCCAGCCCGCCGTTACCCTGCTCCTGCTCAGATTCTCTAGGCGTTCCTCTTCTAGCTTCCTCTTCTTTTGCTTTTGCCAGATCCCACCTTTTGGGGACTAGGTATTTCCAGGACCGCCTAATCAGCAGCAAACAAGAGTCACAAGGAGTCTGGACCCTCGATCTATCACAAAGCCTTCTGGAAACCCTGAAACTGGAATCCATGTCTGTCTCTCTAGGGTTTCCCAAGGAAGTACTGGGTTGCTGATAGAAGAGGGATGGACTCATTTCCACTTTTCAGCCCTCTGTGCCCTGATTAGTTTTCACAACCTTAAACCTCATCGCCACAGAACAGCAAGAGGGGAAACAGCTACTAAAGAGGATCACTATACAGCTGCCTGGCCATAGCCTCATTCTTGGGTGAGGCCTGCGGATCCAGAGTACATTTCTGCAACTCTTTTGAAATTTGGCATGACCTACCTGTGCTGTTGCAGTAGGTGCTGGAAGGACCAAGCTAGGAGCATCCCTGCAAGGAGACACAGCCTGGCACCTGCCTCCTGACCTTGCCAGGGTCCCAGGCACCTTCATGCATGGGTCCCTGACTTTCATGGGAGCCTTATGAGCTCAAAAAATGTTCTGAATGACAGAGACAGAGAAAAATGGGAACATTTGGGTCTCACAGCCCCACCTCTGCATCCTGAAACCACAGCCTTAGTCTGTCACAAGAGGAACCAATCACTCAGCTTGTGGTGCCGTCAGGGATACATGGAGTTTACCAGGATCCACACTGGGCTGTGTTTCTGCCTTGTCATGTGCTTTTCAAATCCCCCATTAGATGGGAGATTGATCGTGCTACTTGTAAACAGAACAAAGCCGAAAGAACGGATGGGCAGTGTCTGGCAGAATGGCCACCCTGCCGCAGTGTGACTCTTCTCTGCAGAGTGAGGGGGCTTCCTGTAGGCTGCAAAGTAGTCCAGAAGCTGGTGGGGACAGGGCCTGGCCCGGGCTGCCTGTGACCAAGTGCTCCATGCAAGTCCTGTTCCTTTGGGCCTTCTCTCTATACTGAACACTGTCCTAACGGAGAGCCAGGTGGGGTCTGTATAGAGGTTTATCTAGATCAGCAGATCATGTGTTGTCATCAGAGATTTAAAATATCCTGAGGCCTCCGAGAAGGGACTAAGAGGCAGTAGAAGAAAGGCTCATGAGTCCCAGGAAGGCATCTTGGTCCTACAAGGGTCCCGCCATGACTAACACACCATGACTCTTCCCAAATGCCCTGCCTATGAGCCCATGAGGTCTGGGGGGACATCCAGATATAAACCACACAGGAAAATTATGGAAGTCTAGTGTTTACGTGTGTGAATGGTCACACAGAAGAAATCAGTGGCCAGGCATGAGACTGGACCTTTGCCTTCTCCATGTTCTCTTCTTCTGAGCTGGTTTTGCAAATAACGTAGAGCAAGGCTAATGACCCAGGTCTGAGCCTGGCCCTTTCTGCCATAGTCTTTCTGACTGTCATAGTTTGGACCTGGAATGTTCTTGTAAGGCCCCGTGTTAAAGGCTTGGTCACCTAAGTGGAACCCCTAGGTGGCACCTTGGGGAAGGAAGTAAGATCACACAGCACACTCTTGAAGGGGCTGTAGGACCCTGGCTCCTTCCTCTGCCTTGGTTTCCCAGCTTCCATGAGAGACACAGAACTCCACTGTCCTGCCCTGCCACCACAGTGCACTATGCTGTGACATGACAGACCCAAAGCTGCAGGCTCAAAGAACCATGGACTGGACTCTCTGGAGCCATAAGCTCCAACTTCTCCTTTTATGCTGTTCACTGCAGAAGTTTTGTCACAGCATTGAAAAGTTGATTCACACACTGACAAGAAGGAGGAACAGAGGAAAAATGGACCATGACAGAGATCCAGGAGGGGTCTGTATAGAGGTTTATTTAGATCAGCAGATCATGTGTTGTCATCAGAGATTTAAAACATCCTGAAGCCCATGGTCACCTCCATGACCAATTAAATCAGCTCTCCTGGGGTGGGTTGAGGCATTAATATTTTCTAAAGCCCTCCAGGTACCTCTTGAGAACCAAAGGCCCAGGCCAGAAGCCTCAGGGAAGAGGAGTAACAGCAGCAAAAGCCATGCTGTAGATACACCTGCAGTCTCTGGAAGCCAAGTCTCAGCCCAGCATGGACACGAATTGTGGACACAAATTCTTCCTGCTGCATATGCAGCCTGGAGGATGGTGAGCATGCATACCCAAGAGGCTGCAGATGCCTCTGCCTGGGCTGTTCAGCTTTGAGACAGGAGCTTTACTAAGAGACAAGAATCGGCCTCCACTCCATCAAGGACAAAAACAACCACTGCACAACCACCGATGTGTGCCTCAGATGCCAACATGTGCGGAAGGCCAGGTTTAACTGTGTCTAAGAGGAACAGGAAATATTTATTTAGGGTTAGCGGCAGCTGCTCCAGGGTACAGCTGGGGATGAGGGAAGATGTAATTAAGAAATTGTGCGAGGGAGGTCTAAAGCCACCCGCAGGTAGGGTGCCTCTCAGCAGTTGTTTGCCTTGGCTTTTTTGTGGGGGTAGCTGAGCGTTAATAGGCACTTAGGAGTAGAAACAGATAAATATGCAGCCTAATTAGTGGCTGACTGAGGGCTGCAAGATCAAATCCAGGCAGAATCCCATTATAGCCTGGCCACAGGTCCTCAGAACTGTTTTGCTGAGTGATTGCCTCATAATGACTACCTGCTGGGAGTCATCACCCACCCGTATCTCCCTGGCTTTCCTCACAGTTCCCTCACCCTGGTCTGCCTCCCCTTTTAGAAGGGAATGTTCCCTGCCCAGCGCAGCTCTGGGGAAGGGAGTGGCTGTGAAATTTATGATCATCATCAAAAATGTGCTACAACTATCAAAATCAGAAGAAACAAGCCACGTAGATCATGAATAGAATTTATGGTTCTGTTTTCTAGTTGCATAAAATTTGAATTGTTTCAGCAAGATAAAAAAAATGACAAGAACTCTGCAGCGGGTCAATAGGGATATTGACTTCGGTCTGCTTGGGTCACGCTGGTTATCCCATCCGCTAGCTCAACCAGATGGTAAATAATCAAGAGAACAGAGAATTATTCTGTCTTTTATAGGATTGTATTGCTAGCAGGTAAAGAGTGGTCATGAATTTGCATTAGGGTAGCCCAGACTCTGTCTCTCTGCCAGAAGTTTCCCCCCTACTCTTGCTTCCCCACCCCCCCCCCTTGGTTTTCTGAATCAGGCTCTCACTACGTGGCCCTGGCTGGCCTTGAACTCATGGTGACCCTCCTGCCTTAGCCTCCTACATGCTGGGCTTACAGGTGTGTGCCACCATGCCCAGCCTCCCCTACTTCAACAACTCTAAAATCAAAGAGCGCTCAGATATGCAGTGCTCTCGGTGAAGGTCAGTTATAACATACAGGTTCCCTCCCTGCCAGTGGGCACTGGCATTTTAAAAGACCTCTGAGAAAAAAATGGCCGAGACCAGTCACATGATTCACAGTCACATGATTCGCCCAGTGACACCCAGCAAATGAGGGCCAATAGGACCTGCAAGTAGAACTCAGAGCCTATGACCTTCAAACTCTCCTGGGTGTCCTCTACCAGGCCGCTGGGCTTCGTCACAGCCCTCTAAAAAATTGTTTGCTGAGTGCTGTTTTGTCTAACATATCTTCACTTGTGTATTGAATTCCAGAATTAAAGTGGAATTATCAGTGACTTCACCTCCAGTCTTCTTAGCTTCTCTACTAACAATAAGAGCCACCGTGTATACTCGAGCCCTTTTTCTTCCAAAACAAGCCACTGAGCACAGGAAAACAACCCAAATCCACTAAAATCAGATGAAATTTACAAGCCCACTCCTCAGTGGCCAAAGCCACTCAAATGCCCTCGGGCCGGATGAGACATGAATTTCAGTCTCAGAGCATACGTTATTCAGCAGAGTTTCTTGATCAGTTTCTAGGAAATCTTACGCATTAAATAGCAAATGTTGGGAACTGTCCTGTGTCTAGAAAACTGTTAGCTCTTGACAATGTGGAGCAGCCCGTTAGACCAAATACATTACCTCCTACCTCTGACTGAGATTGACATAGTTCCGGGGGTAAGCAGTGTCTGGTTCCAAAAGCAAGTTTTTCTCTGAAACTGATTTTTTTGTTTGTTTGATTGTTTGTTTGACATGGGAGTTGGGTATGAAGGCTAGCTGGAAACCTTAGAAACAAGTATTGTCCACCTTTTACAGGGAAAGAAAATGGGCTGCAGAGAGATTGAATTTCTGGCCCATTTTACGACTGACCAGTTTGCAAGAAATGCAAGATTTTCAGTCCTAAACCTGGGAATGTTTCAGGCAAACTAAGATCACTGGTCACCCATCAAGTTCCAAAACTGATTGTCAGAACAGCAAAATGCAACTGATATTATTTGAGTCCAAGTACGGTTGCACCTAGGAAAACATCCAGATGTGGTTATATAATAAGTTCACCTCCTTACCTCCTTCATCTTCTCCTGATTTCTCCCTTCCTCTGTTTCGAGTTATCATTGGATTGCAATCCAGTTTGAAGATTTAGAGTCTGTGTGATCAGACTCTCTGTTTTTGTTCATTCCCAGCTTTCTTGCTCAATAAATTAATGTCTGTGTTGACATTCTCGTTATAAAACAATCTCATAGGGCTTCAGGAGTTTGTTTACCGGCTTGGCAAGAGAGTCTGTGCACTGGTCGGGAACTTTCTCCACCAGAGTCCACTGCTGCTGACTCATTCCCTCATGTGATTTGGCTTTTTCTTAAGGCGATTCAGGTGAGTGTATTTTCTGTTTCACTTCTCCTCGCTGTGCTTTCATGCTCTGTGTGCAGAACAGAGCGATGCAGGCTTCCCTAGAGCTGCTTAACACGCAAGTCTGTCTGTATCAATGGACACGCTAAGTGAGGAGCAAATCTGTAGTCTCAGGACCTTGGCATGCAGACCAGTTGGCCAAGGTTAAGGAGCCCTCCGTGGGGGTCAGGCCCTGTCTGCTGGGGAGGTTGAGGAGAGCTGGGCTGGAGCACCCGGGCACTGCTGAACGTTAGACTCCTGGTAGAGGGTGTACGTAGCATGTGAACCTGCTGGCATCCAAACTAATTAATTAACAGCAAAAGAACCACCTGGGGAGATTTGTAAACATTCTCGTGTATGCCCTGCTAGAACAAGGCTACCAGGATTTCTAGGTTAGAAACTCAGAGAAGGGCATTTCAACAGCTTCTTAAATGATTCTTGTGCAGCCCAGCTGAGAACCAGGGGCGCCAAAGGAAGCAAGGTCAGTACTTTTTACCATAATTCCCTGCCTCTGCAAAATAATGCAAAGCTACTTGGAGTGATTTCTAACAAACTTTCTGAATGTGTCATCTTTTGGAATGATAACAAACAAGGAAAATGACAACAATTTATCAGTTTTTTAAAAAATTTTTGAGTGAGTGAATAAAAGTCTCTTCCCCAAGTGGTCAACACCCCAACACGAGTTGTGCACTCGTCACCATCTTGGTCCTTAAACAGAGAAACAAACCAGTGCCACCCCAGGCAGGATGGTAACTCCTTCTTCAGGTCGAACTGGAGGACAGGCAGCAGCTGGCAACCAAAGGCGTGGCTTGCTGGTGTCTGTTTTCCATTACTGTAATTACAGAAAGTGATGATAATCTATTTGCTATTAACGTTTCTACAGCTCTGTGGCCAAATCCTGACGCTGACTTGATGGTGTGGTGACTTTCACCACAGCCAGTTGACCAGAGATAAAGGAAAAGTGTTGAAACGGGGCATTTCTGAGGCCCCGAGCTCAGCTCTCCTCTCTGGCAGTGGTAAGTGGTGGTGTAACCGGGACAGCCCGCGGCTGTGTTTCCACGTCAACCAGTTTGACAAGATCTGGCTGAATTAATAGCTGGCTGACTGATTCCACCTATCAATTTGTTCAAAGTTAAATTTGATGAAAATGAATTTAACCAAACCCATTCTCCCAGTGGACCAGTTTTTTCTTTGTTTTTTAACTTGAAGGGCAATGTCCTTATCATAACTTGAGAAGTGATGTAACACAGACAGACCCACATCCTCTCCCCAACTGGGTACGCATATTTGTGACATGGTGGCTTCTTCCTGTGCTTCTCCATCAGAAATCCAGACGCGTCTGGCAAATAATTGGCAGTGTGAGATTGGTCACTTCATTAAAGACAAGAAGCCATGGAAACTATGTCACCACAGGCCAAGGGTCCTTCTAATCCAAAAAGAGAAAGCTCTTGAAAGACAAAGTGGCCCGCCCAGCAAAAACAGGCCAAAAGGGCTGTCAGCCAGCCTTATGTCCCTGTGACAAAATCGCTGAAATAATCAGGGAGGAAAGATGCGTTTGGCTTCTGGTATCAGAGGTTCCAGTCCATGGACTACTGGCCCTGTCACTTTGGGGAACCTAATGGTCCCACCACTCCCAAAAGTTGCTACAGTCTGGGAGCCTAGACTTTAACACACAGTCTCTGGGGGATGTTTTGGATCCAAATTATATCACCAGCCATGAAAATAGGTACAGCGTAGGTATCCCTCTTAAACAAAATGTAAACTGAGCAGTAGCAGTCAATAGAGACAGAACACTCTGCTCCCTGGATCTAAAGACCAGATGCTCCAGTGTAGCTGGGAGAGTTCCACACCCTAAGACTTCACAAGCAGACAGTTAATATGCACATCGCAGGTGCTCTGAGATCTAGGGTGTCTCTGCTTCCTCACAGCTAAGAAAGTTATCTTGTTGGTGTCATATGCTCCAACCCTTTTTGAGATTCTCCATGCTGTGTCTTCCAAACCATAGGATTCTTGCTGCTGTTAGAATATAAGAGAAGGTTAAGGACAGAACATTTTCAAATATGAGCTCCAGACAAGCCCAGGAAAGATGGATTAAGGACCCTCCTCCTGCTCCTGCCTTGAGGCCTGCTCTGCTTTACAAGGGGTTTCTCACATACAGCTAGACCTCAACCACCACACAGCTAAGCACAAACTCACCCTTCGCCCTGGGCTCACCCCTGGCCTAGGAGTATGCCTGCTCTAGCAGCCCAGCCCTGCCTACCAGGACAGTCACAGGGCAGCTGGTGGCCACAGTGAATGTTTAGTGTGAACGATGCCTGAGAAGATTCATGCCCTGACCACGCTGCTCACTGTTCCCATGTGAGGTGCAGCTGGCAGACAGCCAGTGCCAGGGCCTCTAAACAGTGGGCCGGGAGACGCCCCCTGATACTGGGGCCCCAGATGTTCGTTGCACTATTCCCCCAGAAAATCTTCCCCAGGCCTGGGAGCCCTGCAAAGGCCAGGTGCTCGATGCTTTGAAAGTTGCTCCAGAATTTAGGAAGAGCCACAGACCAAAAAGAGAGAAAAAAAAAATCCAAAGAGCCAGCAAATACCATAAATGAGCAAAGGAAGCTGATGCAGGTCCAAAGTAAGTGGTGGGAGATGCGATGAGCTGCAAAGAGTGAGTCCTTTCCAAAGGAAACAGCAGCCGGCTGCGGAGCTGAGCTCAGGGCTCAGGGATCTTTCAGTTAAGGGAGGGAGGGAGGGAGAAGGAAGGAGGAAGGGAAAGAAAGAAAGAAAGAAAGAAAGAAAGAAAGAAAGAAAGAAAGGAAGGAAGGAAGGAAGGAAGGAAGGAAGGAAGAAAGAAAGAAAGAAAGAAAGAAAGAAAGAAAGAAAGAAAGAAAGAAAGAAAGGAAAGAAGGAAGGAAGGAAGAAAGAAAGAAAGAAAGAAAGAAAGAAAGAAAAGAGAGAGAGAAAGAAAGAAAGCTAAAATGTTGCCTAATTTCCTCATCCTTAAATGTTAGCAGCTAATTCAAATTTTGATTTAAACACTCTTTCTGAGGCCAACAAGCTACATCTGCTAGTGGGATTGATCGTCCATCATTTGCAAAGCCCTTCCTTACTGAGATGGCGCAGAAACCCACTTCCAGGAGAATCCTTACACCTGTAGCCACCAAGCCATTCTCCCACTACATCAGAAGGCAGTGAGATGATATTTTCCCACATCTCTCCCCTTTGGGAAACTGAGTCACCAAAACTCTCCTGACTGCCGCTTCCACAAGGGCTTCCACCACCCCACGCAGTCTCAGCCTGGCACCCCTGGGAGCCCTCAAGGGTCTGCTTCCCAAGTGGACAACACAGCGAGCAGAGCACTTCAGAGGTGATCACTTCTCCTTACTAGGAACTGCATTTCTTGGTTTTTCACCAGCTGAGGTCCAGAAGGGGGAGGAAGGCTCAGCTCTGAGCTCCCGGCGCCACCAGGCGAGGCGGAAAGGGGCATGGCCACCACCCTGCTGTTGCTGGGTCAGTGTGCAAGGCGGCCTGCGCTTGGTCCACTGTCAGAGGGGCGGATGGAGCAGGACAGCCGGGACACAGCAGAGGGAGGATGCCGCAGACCATCCCACGTGCCCGGGACTGATTCGCCAGGGGGCCAGCGACATGCAGTTTTTACCGATTGATGTGAATTTCCAGTTGAACAATGACTGGGCTCCCACTCATCTGTAGTTAGCAGTCGCCAGAAGCAGACTGTCCCTGACCCATGGCCGGCTCCTCTGGTGTGCCCGGCTTTTCTGGGGTTCAGGTCCTCTGTAACCACAGCCTGGCAGCTGCCACTGCCATAAGGCGATACCTGGTGGCCATAGGTGAGCCGGGCCCCCCAGGGGTGGTTTCAGAAGGAGATGGGGATGTACTGGCTCCTGAGCCTCTCTGCCCAACTATCTGGAGCTCAGGACAGCTTCAAATTAGCAGGACAGCCTCACTTCACAGCTCAGCAAGACTATTATAGGTCAAACCAAGAAAAAGATTAAAATAAGAATTCCTGTAACTCTAGCCAAAACCTCTTTTTCAACCTAAAAAAATGGTCTTGACACTAATTAGAGGCTGGAACTGTTTCTAGGAGTCAGAATGTCCCTCTCCTGCTCAGGCACGACCCAGCATCCCACAGGCCACCCAAAGCAGGGACCTAGAGGCCACTCAGCAGCCCTACCCCACCCTCCTCGCCACCCAGTCAATGCAGCACGCTGAATCGCCTTTTGGGTCCATGAGACTTTGGAATGAGTGTCCAGGAGTCACAGAGACCTGGCTTCACGTCCTGGTGCCACCCCTCATAAGTGCTGAGAGTTTCCTCGAGTTATTCTCCCCCTGGGCCATGCTGCCCTTGACCCCGGTGCAGAGCTGGTACTCAGACCTCGAGAGCATCATACGTGGTAAAATGAGCACTGTTTCAGAATGCATTTAAAATGTCACTGCTGTTTTTGTGTCTCTGTCCCCACAGACACAGCCCAAGCCCAGGACAATGAATCTTGTAGTTAGATGGAGCAGGAGGAGGAAGAGAAGGAAGAGGAAAAGAGGAGAAGGAGAACCACACAGCAGTAGTACTGACTGGCTGTTTTTGCAGGGTCATGTCACTGATGGGTTTAAACAAAGCCAAGACACCATCCATCTTGCATTTTCTCCAGTCTCACTTTTACTGACCCTCAGGGGCCCCCATAGAAGTGGTAGTTAGACAACTTTTGCAATAAGTCAGTGGAGTGATCTGGAGGCTCAGATAGGGGCTGGTGTTGCTGATGGACAGCCATGTTGGTGTCAGGCTGGCTTTGAAAGGCAGAGTCACTCACAGCAGGCTGCTCCAGCTGGGAGACTCAGCCTCCTTCTTGACTCGGGTCAGTCATCAGTAACAGGAAGACAGCAGGACAGACAGAGCTCCTTAAGCCACCGTGAGGATTAAAGGAGCTGCTTTATCTGGAAGCCACGCCTGTGTCTGCTGTCCTTCCTTCCTTGAGACTAACCTGAAGCCTCAGTTGAACACATTCCATTTCTCAGTGGCAGAGACAGTGTTGAGCCTATTGCAAGATTACCTACGCTCATCTGTCTCATTCTCCAGATAAGATCGCCGACAGCTGTGGCGCCATCCACCAGCTGTGGCCACTGCACCAGGGCCTCAGCAGCCAAGTGTACAATGGACTTACTAAAAGACAGGGTATGCTGGAGAGAGTTTAGTTTGCAGAGTGAAAACTGGAAATATTTGCAGGAATATCTGAATAGTGCTGAGGAGTGCCAGATGGTATTGCCAAGGATTCTAATTTCCTTT